TTAAACGTGGTATTCACGTTTTATCATTTCACCTATATTATCAAGAACTTGACAACAGCCAATATAATGTATGTAGGTTTTAAATGTAGCAGATTCACTTCAGGATTAATATTTAACTTTCACACTTTTGTAAAAACTTTTCGCACGAAAAAAGAGTACCAAAACTGATAAAAAGAAGAGTTCGTGTTAGACACTTAACGTAACAAAGCCGTCAAATTATTTGACACTGTATTATTGGACAACTTGCGGTGATTATATGCTTGTGTTTGCTGGTTCAGAATAAGATTCAGTTGATTTTTGTCTCGAATGACCACACCATGTTTATTTTCTTGGAAGATGTTTCAAAGCTTTAAAATGTGGTAGAAATGCTTTCTTTTTTATAACTAATGCAGTATGTGCCCATGTTATATTTTCTATTGGTTATGCTTATAAATATTTTTTGATAATGTTGTTGCGTTTTATTTACGACCACGTTTGCAATAATTTGCAAAATCCATTTATCATTCTGAACTATATATTTACACAGGAATTAGTTAGCTATATAAAGTAGAAGACATATTTAAATTCAGTAGAAATGTTCAGGTGGTGGATTTTACAGAATGACGTTTCCATATATCATTAGGACATTTCTCTAAAAAATCAAAATACCTTTCTCTAGGTCTCAATTACCCAAAATGCCGTTTAAGCTGGTGTTTACATTTTGATACATGTCAATGTTCAAGAAATGCAAGTATAACTCCAAGATCAAATTAAGATCCAATTTAAAAATAAATAAAATCCAATCTAAGAATATTTATGGAAGTATGTCAGATTGAACAGCAAAGTCCTTTGGTTCATGCTACCTGTACGAATTATAAAATCATGTCCATGTATCATTAAAGGCAATATCACGGTATTATTATATCATGCTTTTGTTAGACTATTCTATAGTATATTAAATCAAATCTTTTGCACCGGTTACATCAAACTTTGCTGCATTAACTACGAAAGACAGGTTGGGACATTTCAACTTCATGAATTCACGATTTCAACTTCACGCGCTGCTGCGGTATTATTATATCATATGGCGCCAAAACATGGCGGTTGCTTCTTATAGTGAAAATGACTTTCGTTAAGTTTGCGTACAGATTCTACCTTTTAGTACATGTACTTTAATTATAAATATTAAATGAAAGAAAACGAAAGTGATAGAGATTATAAAAATTAAAATGAACAACTATTCTCGGCTCTGTATCGACTGAATTTTCAGCAGTGGTTTCTGTACTGATCAGGAATAGTAACCACCGCAGGAAGATTGTCAGTTCTAATTTGAAACAATACTTCAATGTTTCGTTAATCACGTGTGATGAACGATGTGCATAAGTAGTAACGGGTAACAGATAAAGTTAACAAATCATAGTTGATAAGTTTGATAAGTTTATTTTCAATATTCCATAAGGCTATATAGCCCATGAGGATATACAATGCATTTTAATATGGCAAGACAGTATATAGCATAAATCTACAAAACAATTTAAACAGCGGAGAAGGTTTACAAATAATTAAATGTCTTTCTAATTAGTATGACATCAGATATTCTTACCAAATTCCACTTGGGTATAACTTTAATTTTACTATGAGAAATTTTTTCAGATATTTTAGAACAAGATATCTACGGTTCTTTCAATCGAAAATTATGTCATACTGTACCGCATAAAATGTTAATTTCGAGAGGAAAATGTAACATATACCCATGTGAAATTTCACATTGCACAAAATGAAAACTGAAACTCTATTCTATAAGCACATTTAGGCTAAATTATAAATGCATTTGATAATAACATGCAATATATAGTATAACAACTCAACATTACATGAAAAATATCTACTATGAATACACGCAACTGCACCTATACTGTATACTTAACTCTCAAAAGATATTTCATCAAAAATAAGTGAGGGATTCTTGTCAATAATAATATCTTGATCTTGTCGAAACGAAACACAAGATCAACATATTACTTTTACATTCACACGAAATAAAAGTTTGTTTACACATTTGATATCAATCCAGGTACAATCAAGATATAAAGCAAAAAGAATGATTGTGTATAAGTAAGATACAGTACCTAACTTGTATGATAAAGTTGACCTTGTCAATATGAAAACACAAAGTCAACTTATGTAATTTATATCACTTTAGTGTATCTTTAATACATTTATATTTTATCAATTGTATCTGTTTTACATATCAAGAAAACATACACAAATCAAGAAACATACACATATCAAGAAACATACACATATCAAGAAACATACACATATCAAGAAACATACACAATATCTGTATACATACTATAAATAACTATAAATCTACATTACTATTTAAATCTGCTTACGAACTATATATAATTTCCCTCCTAATCTGAAAAGCACTAGATACAAAATTTGCAAGATTTCGAGTTAATTTTTCTTTATCTGTATTTAACAATTCCAATAATTTTTGCATATTCGGGCGTCTCCAATAATAGGACTGGATAAAACGTTGTCTCAATTCAGCGTATACATTACATTCTAATATAAAATGAAATTCATCTTCTAAAATACCACATGCATAACAGATTCTTTCATTTATAGGTGTACTATTTGGTTTCGTCCATCTACCAGTTTCAATATGTAATCTATGTGAGGACACCCTCAGACGTGCTAGTTCGCAATAAAATATTTTAACATTAACTAAACTGGGGTATGGTTGCAATTTAAAACATGATATATGCCTGTAAAATAATGCTCTACTGGAATCCTGTAAACGACTTGACCAGTTTTGAACAAAATGATCTCTTAATCTTTGTTTTACCACAAATAAAAACATATCAATATTTCCAACACTTTGCATAAGCCAGGCGTCATGTAACCCTAAAGAACACAAAAGAGACTTAACTAAGGAGCACCAATTTGCTTTATTAGGATGGTTTTCGAAATCAATTTTCAATAGATTATACACTTTATATACATATTTGTTACTTTTTGTATGAATAATTTTTATCCAATATTTCAAAACATTATAATGTCGAAGTGCTTGAAAGGAAACTCTACCAAGCTCACCATAAACAAAATCGTTTTGAGTGCTTTTTTTCACACCTAAAATACTTTTGCAAAATTGCATATGCACTCTTTCTATATTGTTACCTGTAACAAAACCCCAAACTTCGCTACCATAATTCAAAATAGGACTAATCAGTTTATCAAATAACTCAAGTCTATGCACAACAGTAATATTTATAAATCTATACAGATATTTATTCATCTGGAAAATAGCTTTCATTGCTTGACCTGCAATAGTTTTTTTGTGCTTCTGCAAAAGACCCTCCGGTCGTGAAAACTATACCTAAATATGTAAACTTACTAACATTTTCAATAATAGAACCTTTATACATGAAATTGCAATTTTCAGGTACTCTTCCACCTCTTCTAAAGATCATTACCTTAGTTTTAGTAGGGTTTACACTTAGTTTCCACCTATCGCAGTAGGCTGAAATAATATTTAGACTTGTTTGTAACTCATCTTTGGTATTAGCAAATATCATCAGCATATAAAATTAAAAATACTTTAAACATATTAACATCTATTCCAGGAACATCACTATTGATAAAACTGTCTTCTAAATCATTTAAAAACATGGAAAAAGAAAGGGAGATAAACACTCTCCCTGACAAACGCCTAGTGAACATACATACTCATCACTTAGTTCATTACAAAACTTAACTCTTGCTTTTCTGACGAATACATTGAACGTATGATATTTAAAATGTGACCACGTATGCCAAGCTTAGTCATCTTAAACCACAGGTTATCTCTAACAATGTAATCAAAAGCTTTAGTAAAATCGATAAACGCACAGTAAAGTTGTCTCCCATTATTAATCATGTGACTTATTAAACCATGTAGCACAAAAATATTATCTACAGTACCCATATGCGATCTAAAACCTGCTTGGGCCTCAATATAAACACTGTATTCTTCTGCCCAGTTTGACAGTCTATTATTTAATATTCGGGTAAACAATTTTCCAAGAACGTTTAACAAAGTGATACCTCTGAAATTATTGACATCATTCTGGGTTATTCACAGACTTAAAATATTGAGCAAAAGTGTCTAATTGTACATTTGACTGCTTAACACCAGCAGTCCCTTTTAACATATTCCAATAGTGTTTTGCATTATTAAATTTAGCTTGTGTAAGTTTCAAAGACTCAGCTTTGTCAAAATCATAACTACATTTCCTAATACATGTTTTATATTGTGACATGGCATTAACTAAACTAATTCTATTTTCTTCGCTTTTATTTAATCTATATCTATTCAACATTCTATTAAAAATAATTCTCTTTTCATGACAATCTTCAGTGAACCAAGGCTGATCCGAATATACTACATTATCTTTATTATTAACACCGATATTTCTCTTAAACAAAGGGGACGCAACTTCGTCCAAGATATTTGAAAAACTGTCTACACATTCATTTATATCATGCATATCCACAGCAGAATTTATTTGCACGTTTAAACAATTAAATTTCTGTCTAGATCTTTCTGACAACAATTCATCTGTATAAACTGATTTTAAATTACTTGACCATAAATATTTATAACTAACATGATCATGGCTATCGCTTATATCTACATTGATAGGATTATCAAATTCAAGTACAAAATTGATTAAACAGTGGTCTGATATTGTATTCGGTTCTGAAACATCAAAACATTTAACAGATTTTAAAAGATTTTGCGTACCAATAACATAATCAACTAAACTAGAGCCTCTATATAGTTGTATATCATATATTATATTAATGCTATATACATGTACATTTATTATTCGTGGAACTGTTTACTGAAAATGCGTTGAAGTTCATACAAATATAAATATGAAATACCAACTGTAGATAGATACATTTACTTTTTACTCGGGAATTGGAGAGAGTATTAATCTTGCAATAGAAAATAAACAATCCGCAGATAATGTTTTTATCTAGAATTTTTTACTTTATTATGAATTTGCAATTTCTATGGAAATATAGCTGGAAGACAATTAACCAGACCAGGCGAAAAGTAATGACGGAATATCATTGACATTCATTCTATATAACTTCACGTTTGTTCGTGTTACTGAAAACAAAATATATCAAGTGTAACTATGTAACTATAGATAACGCACTGTTTATCATCTGTGATTACACCGTCTATCAACGATTTTTAGTCGCCGGTAGAAACCGACGACTATATTTGTAACAGTTTAATATTATACCTATGGTAGGGGAAGCCCTTAAAATCTGAAAATAAAAGCATATCAATTATTGAACAATTAAAGACCACAATTATTTTTCAGTAATCTCAAAAATTCGAACATATGATAACTTTGCTCAATGAAATGAAATATACACATGTTGACATCTTAAAAAGCAACATAACAATTTTCATAAAATGAATCAATAACGCATCCTTGAGGATCAGTCATTGAATATTAGGGATACTTTTACTTTTTTCTATGTGTCAAGCGTTGCTATTTTATGATATATAAATCATGAATGATACTTGAAATGGCACTTTTAAATTATTTGGTTGTTTACATGTTATGAGACCTATTATATTTCATTATTTTATCTAATTATAAACAAATGCTCCCTGCTCATTTTGTAAGAATCACGTGACTACATGTTGTATGGTATCGTTATAAATTCTATTAATAGTAACAGATTGCTGATAAGACATACAGGTAACTTGTTAATGGCTGGCAAAAGGCATGGCAGCTGATAAGATGCAAATCATTGTAATTTTGTATAGATAATTACATAAGTTATTTTTCATTAATCAGTTTAATATTTTATATCATTAGAAAAACCTGTATACTCATATTTTACACATTAAAATAGATTTTCAAAACCTTTTCCTTTTTTCTTGGTAAAGGGTTAAACCTAAACCTTTCTGGCAAACATTTGACAAGAAAGTTCAATAGTTTAGTTGAGGTTGAACATCACAAAATAATTTTATGCTTAAAAGGCACATTATTGAAATATATAATGGTAATCGTTGATTTCGTTATATTCCGTTGGTTTCCGTCGCGAAGGTTTCCAAAAAGGTATGACGGTAGGGGTCCGGAATCCTATTTATTAGATACATAGAAAAAATAATAAACTATCTTTGTGTTGATAGTTTATCGCACTAAAAGGCAATTAAACGTATGTAACGATGGGAATACATGTATTGATTTTAACAAAATTTTTTTTCGATAGGGCATAATAATGATGTACAACACTTTTACAGTAGAATTGGATTGTTTCATGCAATAATTAAGCATATATATATTCATAGTCACTTTGCAAATATTCGATGATCGGTAATTATTTGTCGGTAATTATCGGAATCTGAACTAGCAACCAAAAGGCCTACGGATTTCAATGTATAGTACAACAGTATATGTATAAAGTACAATTACAAGAAGAATCACCAGCATGTCACTTGCATTACAAGCCTCAGGGGCAAACATTTCTCAACTTATTGTTCCTCTTTTTTTATTCTTGAACCATTTAACTTATATTTATGATAATATAATCATTTTTCTATCCGGCGACTTGATGCTTTAGCATCAAAGTCTCTACTTGTTTATCTTGATCGTATTGAGAAAGTTTGCTAAGGTTATAGAAAAACTGACCTAAATTTTAAATGGTTTATATCATCATGGTTCCCTAGTTTCCTCGTCACCTGAAACTGAAACAGTATCGTCTGCTTTATCTTTGTCGTCTGCTACAGGTTCTGGTTGCCTTTCAATTCCTATACACTCTACTTTTACGTACTGATTCATAAAAGAAATATTTCTGCAGACACCACGTGTCGTCAAGATGATCTGGTTATCTATAACTTCATCTCCATCGTCCTTAACAATCTTCTTTTCAATTATCTTGACAGTGCTCCTGTTTATGTAATCAGCATCAAAAAGCACTCCTAGGTCGTTGATCCATTCTGTGTGGACTTCTTTACCATCTTTCCGTCGAATCGTCACGGGTAGATTTCCAGTTGGAATGCTAATCGTTGTCTTAACAACAAAACTTGTTTTTGTTGGAATTTCGTAAACAAGTAGAGAAGCTTTTACTTTATTCCTACTCGGAACTTCAATTTCTGTGTTTATATTCCATGACAGAGTCTTGGTGAATTCTTCTGCTTTTGTTTCTGTTATCGAGTACTCACCGCTTACTTTCCCACCTATTTTAACAATTTCTGCAAGATTGATTTCAAGATTTGTTTCTGCGCCGAGTGTATAGTTCTCCTGCAGTTCGAACTTTGTTGAGCTGGTTGTTTCTCGTGAAGCTGTAAACGTGTATTTTTGCGGTGTATCTGTTTCATTTTCATATATTGAATAATATAGTTCAATGTCCCTTTTGTTAGATTTTCCATCTTGAGGAACTAAATTTTCCATCTGACCATCAATGTCTGAAACATCTGTACCACTAGGTGCACGCTCAGAAATGCTTCCTTCACTAGCAGTCGGCTGAATAGTTTGTTGTTTCTTATTCTCTGGATATGCCGCGTGCTTAAAGTCAACATATCCCCATCTTATGTCGAACAAATGGTTGCTTCGTCGCAGGAATAATCTTTTAATAAAGCTCGTGTCATGTTTGTAACGACCCCAAATGTAGTTCTCAACAAGCTCTCCGAGGTTAACTTGATAAATTCTCCCGTTACTACCCATCTTAAATCAAATTTAAATGTTAACAAAATTATAAAAGTAATGTGAAACACAGTAATGTCTACATGAATAAGATAACAATCATTATACATAATACAATAGCATAAAACGGAAGATCTCCTTATCTTAGGACATTAACTAGGTCGCCAAGTACTTCTAATGATAATGACATCTAAGATTAATTATATTTTTTAATTTGATAAAGGAAAAAAACTGAAGTTTTAATTATTTTTCGGATCTAAGTTATTGTCGAGGATGATTATTGAACTGGTTTTGGCTTACTGCACATAAATGCAACGAACATGTACGGTAAAATGGTTCCAGTTATAGTGTGTAGATTTACGAGTTCATGTTATATGTTCCAGTTATAGTGTGTAGCTTTACGAGTTCATGTTATATGCACATTAATGCCGGCAGTTCTGGAAACTGATATCTAGAAACATTATGTAGATTTTAATACATTGCGTAATTAAAACTAATTCTGTGATCTTTTATATTGTATTACTTTGAACCATAGCAGTAGAAGTTAAATAGAACAATGTACAGGCTCAATTACACATTTTCAAATTTGCCGTATGGATCTTGTTTTACTCTATTTTATATTATAATTATGCCATGCATTTATAACTGTGCTAAAAAATTTATTAAGGATAAAGAATCTTCTAGCCTTGACTTTTTGCTCCGGCCTGTTACCATTATTTTACTGATCTATTTTTACTTGAATAAATTAATCTGTGAAGATATGTGAATATTTACAAGAAGAAAAGAAAAAATACGTCACTCATTTGAAGTTACGAAAAAATATAATACCTAATGTATAAGTGTCGGTGATAGTTGCGCGGCAATGGTGCATAAAACTCATACATAACTACCGCCAGTTAGCATTCCCCATTATTTTCATTTACTATTATAGTATATATGATTTTTCATAAGTTGGGAACCTTTCTGGGGTTGACAATGTGTCCGAGTTAAATCGTATACATCAATACCAAAAACTTTCTTGGGATTCGAGAGGTTAGCAAGAGCATGCCCATTGTTGCTAACATACATTTAACTTAAATTGTGACACAAAGAAAAGTTAGTATCGTGCAGAAAATTTTTTTTCATTGAAGACATTTGACATTGGTTGCTTTTTCCGAATCCAAACCATTCATTTTGGGTGAAAAAGTTGTTTTTTAATTTGCTATAATAAAAAAAAAGCCCAAAAAAAAAGGAATCATTAATAACGGGGGTTTAGTTTACAAATCAAAAAATTCGTTTTGACCCCTTTTTCCCTTTCTTTAAAAAGTTAATAAACGAACAAAAAAATAAAGGGGGAACATTTTTTGCATATAAAATTAAAAAACCCGCATCCAAGATATGGGATCTTTGTTTCCTAAAAAAATTTTTGGGGGTTTACATTTTATATGGACGACACCAAAGGAAAAACGCAAGTATCTGCAGAAATAGGTTTTTTTTCCCGGGCTGAAGACATTTGACATGAAATAGATGCTTTTCTTTAAGCGAATCCAAACCATCTTCATGTAATTGGCTGAAAAAGTAAAATTGATAATATCTAAATTTTGTTCGCTATCATAGTGGAACAATAAGCGGCAATAGATCATTAAGGTCACTGTTAGTTACACAGTCATAGAAAATTAACGTACTTATTTCACTACAAAAAAAATAGAAAATGTAAAATTCTTGTCTGAAATCAGGTTTAATCAAATTGATTTGAGAAGGGACGCAACAGCTACTTCATCAAGCTATTAGTCCAAACGTATTGCCTCCCTTTATGAATAAACATAGTGTCCATTGGAAAGAATACATATATAGACAACTCAGATTAAAACTCTTATTATAAAAAATGTTCTTTTAATTCTAATAGCAGAATGTCAGATATTTAAAAACATTTTTAATTGAAGACCAATATTTGATAAAATATTCGCCAAACTAATTTCAGTATGGAATTTGCACGAGTTTTGTCCATGTCATATTGGTATTGCGAAAATCATTTACTTTATTATATTTTTATATAGAAAATCCCGTCTATCAAAATAAACATTATTGTCTACTAGACACACATTTTGCAACTCAACCAGATTAAATGTTATTGCATAGTTCTTAAATTATGTAAAAATTATTTAAAATTTAATTTAAGAAAATATTTTAAAAGCCTTTTTCCTTTTTTTTCCCAATTGTACGTGGGCCCAGTTTTTTAAATTTTTGGGGCAATTTTTTCCTTTGTGGTTTATTAAATTTTTCCAACCCCTTTTTAATGGTGTTTTGTTTTTAATTTATTTTAAAAATTTCCCCAAAAACGCCGGGTTTAAAATTGACTTAAAATTTCTTTTCAAAAAATTTTTTAATGCTAGTAAAAACCATTTTGAAAAAAAAATTTTTTTAAATTGCCCGGGTTTTTGGAAAAAAATAAAAACCTGTTTTTAAACATTTGGAAGCCTATATTAAAACAGAAAAACACCATATTCGATTTCTGGGGATAAATTAAGATAATCACATTGGCTTATTGCTGCCGATAGAAACATTAGAGATAATAAACAATTAAAGTAATAAAGATATATCTCTGCATAGTGAGGTTATAAGATGTTTTGTGAAGATTTTCTTTGGGACAGCCACAAGTTATGATCAACCAGGAATCAATATCTGTTTGAAAACCTTATATTTTGGCATTGTTTTATGTCGAACCGACACTGTTAGTGTCATGAGGCGCTTTACCAGCATTTCCAACTGCCAAAACATCTTCAAGAACTAAACATTCGTGAGAATGATGACATGCAATCGTACTATATAGACTTAAAATTTATTTCGTCGATGGTTATTAGTACATGTACAATTATATATCTGACACTTTGATGTTTTCGGTTTTCTGTATTGACTGCGCTACTGATGACGAATTATACTGAAAAAGAGCAGAAAAATGGGAACCAAGCCTGTTTAATGAGATAACCCCGACTGCTTTCTCGTTCTCACCATTAATTTGCAAAATGATGTGCAATCCTTATTGTTTAAACATTATTATCGTTGATGTTGTTATTGCCGCTTTTCTGAGTATACGGCCTTTAATTCTTTTGTAATGTATCCAATCTTGACGATTAAGTCGAAAAAAATTCTTTTGCGTTTATTTTAAAAAGAGTATCTAAAACGTGTATTTCGAGCCGTTTATATTGAAAACGTTAACATTTGAGATTATTTCTTTCAAAGTTAATGCTTTATGAAACAAAACCTTATCAGAAAAAGTTTAACATGTATGTATATGGTTTCATGAGCTGGTAATATATCCCTCAAAATATCTAAAGAATAAACAAATGGCTTTATTTTCAAATGCAAAAATCAGTTTTGGGCACTTGAATTTCTGATAAAGAACTGATCGATAATTCAATATATATAACACGACCAAATTTCACGTGAAATTCATATATATAATGATAAGAGATATCATAAAAACTGAAGGATTAAGACTTTATACGTTTGCAAGACGGTGTACCGTGGATATTAATCCATCTGTTTGCTTTTTAGGTTGTTTACCCATAACTTTAACTAACTTATGGTCATATATCGGCGTCGATTCCCCTAACGGGTTTGCTGGAAAACAAAAATGTTATAACAATTTTCTCCGCAAATTTATAATCCAACAACAATTTCTAAACCAGCGGTGATAAGACTCAATGCCCGAGATAAATTGTCTCGGAGAAATTCCGCCTAGCCCGAGTGTCGAACCAGCAATCCATGGATCACTTGTCCCTATTTAGATAAGCGAGGGGGACATCAATCCATCCAATAGTTTGTATTCTATCATATGCATGTGCATTAACTGACACTTTTTTTGGGAAAAATTAAAAATTTTTAAAAAAGGGAAATTTAGTAAACTAAAATGTTTAGATTTAATGGGGTGTTTATTTAAATATTGGGTATGAAATAATGTAAAAACTTGATAAGATTTTGATATGATTTTAAAAATTTTTTACATACCCAAAATTTCATGTATAAATCTATAAAAAAAAATCTGAAAATAACACAGCAGTAATTTTATCCCCCAAAATAGGCACACCTTCCCCTGTCTATCTTAAAATATTATACAGTTACTCCATGAACAGTTTTTTCACTAACTGGTTATGTAATAAAACTTTTAAAAAAAACGAAAAGCTTGAGCTAGAAAGTTTCACACAGTAGTCTATATCACAACGTTATTTCTCTTGTCTATATAATTTTTATGGCATTTTCGTTCATTTACAGTGCACACAATCATGATGCCAACTGTGCAGCTATCATTTTCTATTCTCCCCCGTCCTTGTTGTCTGTTGCAGATTTTGGCGCCCCTTTAATCTTTTTACACTCTACTTTCACATGCTGGTTCTTAAAGGACACATTTTTGCAAACACCACGTGTCGTCAAGACGATATGATTTTCCATCACTTCATCGCCATTGTCCTTTATAACTCTCAATGGAATTACCTCAACACTGCTTCTGTTTTTGTAATCTTCATCAAATAGCACATCTAAATCGTTTATCCATTCTGTGTGGACTTCTTTCCCATCCTTTACACGTCGAATCGTGACCGGTAAATTACCGGTGGGAAGGCTAATTGTTGTTTTAACAACAAAATCTGCTTTTGTTGGAATTTCGTAAACGTAAAGGGAAGCTTTGGCTTTATTCCAACTTGGAACTACAATTTCAGTGTCTATATTCCATGTAAGAGTTTTTGAGAATTCCTCTGCTTTCGTTTTAGTTACCGAAAACTCTCCACTCATTTTTGCACCAATCTTTACAATTTCTGCAAGATTGATTTCAAGATTTGTTTCCGCTCCAATTTTGTAACTTTCTTGTAATTCAAACCTTGTTGAAGTGGTTGTTTGTCTTGTTGCTGTAAATGTATATTTTTGAGGTGTTCCTGTTTCATTTTCGTATTCTGAAAAATAAAGTTCAACATCTTTTTTGTTAGCTTGATTGGCTTGAGGTACTAATTCTTTCACCTGGGCATCAATACCTGAAGCACCTTCATCATTAGATGTCTCACCAGTCTTAGTTGTGTCCTTCGTACTCGACTGACCAGTTTGTTGTTTCTTTTCGTCTGGATTGGTCTCGTGCTTGAAGTCGACATATCCCCATCTTATGTCGAACACATAATTGCTTCTGCGCAGGAATAATCCTTTAAGAAATCCCTTGTCGTGTTTGTAACATTTCCATGTGTAGTTCTCTATCAACTCTTCAAGGTCCACCTGGTAAATTCTTCCGTCACCCATTTTTGCGTCTGAAACAGAATTGTAAACAAATATATTATTAAACATATTAAGCTATTATTGTATGTGCTTCAATTAAGGTTCGTAATAAGGAACTCATAGGAAGAAGCGTGATAGAGTTTACATTTTAGATTGGTCAATTTCAGGGTGCAACTGTAACATCTTTCAGTTAACCCTGTAACCTTCCGACTGCTACAATAATTTTAATTCAAATTCGGCTCGATAGATGCAATGCTAAATCAATTCGCTAGATATTTTGCAACAAAGAGCTTACTTTGGTAGACGTGTTTACATATTGTATTTTTGTAAAGAAAATAAAAAGATTATTTGGGTTTATGATACATGTTACTGTATCATGTTTAATATATTAACTGGAAATAAACAACAGAATACTGGCTATAAACAATAAACCAGACGTGCATGATGTAACGAGTGCATATAAATTTGCAGTTCATTTATTTACACTTATCATGTATTGTTTGATTTTATTAACCTGTCAATTCCATACTCATTACACGGTCAATGCACAGAATATAATAATATTCGATAACTGTTCGGTAATTTCCGTGAGAGGTACGCAGTAAGATGTAATTAAATTCATCTAGTTTCTATGGACTAGTTACACTGACCAAATGTTCTACATATGTTGTAAGATCGAGACAGTGTATGTCCAGGGTTTTTTTCTTATTCATAAATATTTTCAAAAATTTCGAAGTTATGGTTGTTCTGTTTTTAATATGCTTTGTACTCTTTTGTAAATACTATATTTTTGTATATAATTGATACTGAAAATTCATCCGGATTATAATCAATAAATGTAATTTCAGTGCCGTAAAATACAATACAAAATGTGACAATTCAGTGTTTCTTAGTTGTTTCATTCCGTATAGACAATTTTGCAAGCGCTTGACGATTTTCTTTAAAATATACCTAAAATAAAGAGAGAATAAGTCTAAAAAGAATGTCAAAAGAAGGGATCGAACCTCGGACCTCTCATACATTAGATAATCACTTAACCGACTGTGCTATTGCGGAATCACTTAACCGACTGTGCTATTGCGGATACTAAAAGAACCTTCATTAAGTTAGTGGGAGTTTTCCAAACGTTAGTGATAAAATCCATATTAATTCTCGTAAAATAAACGGACCAAACCGAAGTGGGATCGAATATTTAAATGAGTGCTATAATGTATTCATTTTTGACAGGTCAATAAAATCAGACTATACGTATGTAGTATATAGATATGTTTGTAGACGGATAAATAGCTTAATCGCCTAGTTAATGGTCATTGTAAGTGACATGATGATGTATTAATTTGATGTTCATTAACACACAGACAGTGTGACACTGTTTACAAAATTGCAGCAAGCTAAAAAATCAAATATGATATGTGCATATACATAATAATATTGATACATTGTTCATTTGAAGGTTGGGTGAATCATGACTGACTAGGAAAGTAAAGGAAGTAAAAGTAGAGTTGTAAATCTTATAATATTGTCATTATTTACTAATACATTATACTCGTAGCACTGATAATAAATATAGGTTTCAATACAAGAATAGGTTCAAGTTTTTTCTATAAATACAGGATTTATTTTCATCGAGTGGTATGAAAAGAAATATTTCACAAGTGGCAGTAGCCACGAGTGAAATATGATGATTTTCATACCACAAGATGAAAATAAATCCTGTATTAATAGAAAAAAATGAATTTCCTGTTTATTATGTACTTTTTCTCTTGTTTAACCTTATGAATAGGAAGAATTCCCTTTTAATTTTGTGTATTGGCTGAATTTAAAAGAAAGTAGTCAGACTCCATTAAAAATATGGAAAATATGTTTCAGTGCAGTGAAAAAAGTTTGCAGTGAAAATACGGAAAATAAAAATACGCATTTTATTTCATCACTATTTCTCAATATTTCATTTATAAGTATATAATTAATGTGGGTACGAGTTATGGTAATGTTTAAATATAAAGACATACTACTACATAACTGGCCTGAATCTCTAATATAAATCGGATATTTTATAAACAAATGAAGATACATTACAAACCCCTTTTATTTTCCTTCCCAAGGTTTTTCTTAACCATTTATCTTCTAAAGTTTAAAATCAAATTTAAAAGCTTGTTCATTTAAAATTTTAGCGAAAAACAAAATTTTTTATTTTCAGTCTCCTCTAAACCGCTCTTTGGGGGTTTTAAAACCCTTTAATAGTAAATAAACAAAATCTGAGTACATGGTTTAAAAGAACCCCCACTGGTGTCTGTAAATTAATATATCAAACATAACTTCTTGGCCTTAATATAAACAACATATCGCTACATAAAACAGATGCTTCATATAAAATACAATATTGCATGAATATATAAAATAATAGTCGAGCTGGTTATTAACCAAGCAGCAGTTTCAAAGATCTTAATATGAAAAAAAATATTTCAATAACACCTAATAATTATCTAAATGTATCGAAAATACAGCAACATCATTTCTACCTATATTCATGATTTCTTAAAGAAGTCAAATGGTATATATGCTTGAGGTATATATGCTTGAAATATTGATACATTTAGTAACATTATAATTATTTGCCAGTCTTTTTGAATAGAGGATATTTAAGGTACAAATTACAATATTTAAGCACGATTAACATGCTTTATTTATTTCTTGTTATACTCTTAATTTCATTCATTGTGTTACTATGGAGAAAGAAATAAATCTATCTACATTGCAGTGAACATTTACGGAGTTATGTTCGAGAAAGAAAGAAATAATGATAGAAACTGGTTATTTTGTATGTGAGAAGTTAGCAGTTAACAGTGAGCTAAGCAAAAAGGCATTACGATTTATATAGGGAAATCAATGATCTGCTGTTATGCTCAGCTGGGTAAGCAATCTAGCAGAGCATTCCAAAATAAAGTGTAGAAATGCTTTGCTGGTATGCTCAGCTGGGTAAGCAATCTAGCAGGAGTAAACAAATGCTCAGGATATGTTGCTAAACTGTTCTATTTTGTATATTTGTTACAAATCGTAACATGTGTCATCTCGAAATAGTCATAAGACCTGAGTGACCTGTTCACTGCGCCGCAAATTCTTAGAACGTCGCTATTTTAACTTTCCTATTTTATTTGAGATATTTTCATTTATTCGTATCTTTTTCGTTCTTAATTTATCTAAATAAAATTTTCTGAGATGATGTAAACTTAGCAGCAGAGAAGTCAACGTGACATTGTGCAGACACATCATCAGATATTTTAAATATACGTAATTAATTTAAGCCTATTCATAACAAAATGCAAATTATTTGACATGCGCCGGCAACTCAACCCAATGTCTTTCATACTGAAAATTTCTAAGTAACTAGAGTGAATATTTTGTAAATGATTTGTTGTAATGTTAAATAATAAACTTAACGGTTATATGTGTGAATTAATTTCTATTGGCGTTAAAAATGAATCGTCTATAAAATTGTCACGGACTTTTGGGACAACCCTCGTATACACCGAATGTCTTTAAAATTTGTTTTTGTACTTTCGTAGGAAGGGTTCATATGTGGTTGAAACCTAGACTGAGTATCTAACTTGATATTTGAATTAGAACTGTATCTGTAAAGGCCTCAACAGACGGTAGGGTTTAGTTGTACAGCACTAATAAGAGATAAGATGTACAATTTTCAAAGCTATACAACACTTGCATTCAGACAGTAATTCTACACTGTAAGAATCATCTGAGGTTTCCCCTAAAAAGGATCCCTTTACATTGATCCTGTACATACTTTACTCACTAAATACTTTTTTTTCGCCATGAGTAATGATTGAAACACCTCCATTTAAAAAATATATATATATTCTTTTTTAATGTGAAGCCTGACCGAGACTCAAACCTGGGACCCTTGGAATACCGTACTGCGGCTCTACTGACTAAGCTATCTGGCCACCTACAAACTACCTCCCCTCCCCTAATTCATGTAATTAGAGAACAACTCAATACCGTGACATAATCATTCCGGAATAATTTGGGATTCGAACATAACACAACTTTGGGTCTCCTGAAGAGTTTTTCAACATCAATTTTACCCCATCTTACTACTATGTTTACCTTTAAGCCCTAATTGTTCTGGAATTTCATTCATTACACCCATTATCAGGAGATAATGTGCTTATCTGTTA